GTAAAAAAAATCTAATAATCTCAAATATCTAGAAAAAATAAATAATTATAATAAATTAAACAAATTATAAAAATAAATTTATGAAAGAAAACAGAGAGACTATAAACAATAATAAGAAAAAAGATAGAGAGAAATAGACATTTTAATTAAATATGAATGATAAAACAAAAGAAATTTTAGAATTGAAAAAAAAAAAATTAGAAAGAATATGAAAATTCAAAGGGACAGTTACAAAAATGCTACTTAAGGGTGTCTATTTACAAAAATGCCACTAATTATAGATTTATCAAGCATATATCTTAAAATTCTAAACCCTAAAAAATTTTTTGACACATAAAACCTCCTAAACACTCAAAATTAAATCCTAATAGAAAATAATTAACCCAAATATAAATAATATAAAGAAAAATAATTTTGAAAAAGTGGCATTTTTGTAAAGATTTCAAAAGTGTGGCATTTTTGTAAAGTGGCACTTGAAAAGTGACATTTTTTGAAATTTCTCAAATTTAAATGTTAAAATTTATATGCACAAAGATACAAAAAGAAACAAAATCTATACACATATTTACTTTGTAAACATAGTTATAAAATATTACAAAAAAATATAAATCTTCTACCTATAGTTTTCAATGTTAAAAAAAAAAATTATATAAATTGAAGATTTATTCATGTTATACAATAATAATAATATTTTTACTGTTAAGATATAAAAGTGTAAGATTTGACAAGTATAGATCTCTATGAAAAATTAATCGATGATATTAATGACATTTATAACAAGATATATTTGGGTCTGCATAATATTAATTAGGACATGAGAATTAAGAAATTAACTAAACTTTAAGACAAATGTTTAAATATTTCAAAATATTTTTGTAATTTAACGGATTACTAATTAAAACTTAAATTTTGATATTAATAAATTTATGTATTTATCCGCGTAACGTGGGTCTTAATCTAGTATATATATAATAAGCAACAATCATTCTTAACTACACAAACTATTGGCTAATATGTTGCAAACCATCTCACGTATAGAAATATGTTATAAACTACACAAACTATCAACTATATGTAAACATGTTAAAACTACAAATTGGTAATTTTTTAAAAATTTACCAATTTGCGAGTCAATTTAAATTATTTTCATAATTTTTTTTTTATGAAAATCCAAAAAACTAAGAACATAAAAAACTTAACAAACCGAAAGAAAATCCATGAAACTTAGAAAATGAAAAAAATATA